GAGAAGGCGAGACCACTCTGGACACGGGTGGTGGTGACAGTCACGTGACAATAGGAATGTTTCGCTGAGGCCAGACTGGCTCCTGAAGGTGATCGAGATAGTGACCTTGTGTGGTGACGGGTTCTTGTAGCTGCCAGCACACAAGGTCAGCCCGGGAACCACCTCTGCTCCCTTCCCATCACACCGTCCCCACCTCCGAGTCCCCACTCCCCTTCCCATCACACCGTCCCCACCTCCGAGTCCCCACTCCCCTTCCCATCACACCGTCCTCACCTCCGAGTCCCCACTCCCCTTCCCATCACACCGTCCTCACCTCCGAGTCCCCACTCCCCTTCCTATCGCCTCTTCCCCATACATGTTATTTTTTGTAGCTCGGACTTTCGTGTCAGTCTAAGAACTTGTTGCCCACGTGCAGGTCATGAAGATCCCCTTGTGTTTTCTCCTGAAACGTTACAGTTTACGTTATAGGTACAGGTCTATCATATATTTTGAGGGGTTTTTTGAGAGACATGTTTTGCTATAGGGCATTTGTACTTGCCAGAGAGACAGGAAAAAGTCGCCCTTCAGGGGACATGGACACGCCACAATCCCTTCTATCCACTCTTGCCCAGAGTGAGATTTAGGCTGCCGGGTCTGGGACTTGAACCATGGTCTAGTATGTGGGAGTCTAGCAACGTAACTATTACGCCATCTGATGGTCCCGTGATTTTTGTTTAAGGTGTGAATTTGGGTTGAGGTTCAATATTTTGCACATGAATGTCCAATTGTTCCAACACTACTAAAAAGACTTTTCTCCATTTAATTGTTTTTTGCACCTCTGTCAAAATTCAGTCATTGGTATTTACAAGGGTAAGTCTCTGGCTCTGTTTTGCCTAGTCTTCCTCCAGCGCCTTCCTGCCTCGGTCACTGCACCTAGACCAGAAATGTGTCTGATTGGGAATATGTTAGGATTTGGGAATATTTCATTTACTAATGAGATCTTTGGGGAATAGAATTCAAGTCTAAGTGTCAGATTCGCTTAGGTTTCCTATAAACTTTATAAACATGCCTGAAGGTAGTTTTAGATATTTCTTTTTTTAATTATCTTTTTTTTTTTTTGAGAGGTTTTTGCTATAGGGTGCGTGCGTGCGCTCACCAGAAAGAGAGAGACAGAGAGAAAGAGAGACAAAGAGACAAAAAGTGAGAAATCACCCCCCAGGGGGATGGCCACACTGCAGTCCCTTCTCCTCCACTCTCCTCTCGGGATCTTGGGTACACACACACACATTCCCTGTGTGAGTTTAATCCACCAGGTCCGGGACTCGAACCTCAGTCGACTACATGGGAGTCCAGCGACATAGTCATTATGCCGTCTGCTGGTCCCAGTTTTAGATAATATTTCTTTTATTTTTTTTAATATTTCTAATAATTACAGGTGAGATGAAGCCTGCCAGAAAGCAAAGGTGTCACCGCCCTGACTGGTCTGGACTGTCTTGGTCGTCAGCACCAAGCGAGGGGGCTTAGGGGGCTCCCTCTCCCTTGGGGTGTTGAGTAAAGTGTGTCACAGGCTTGCATGTTGACTGCGACCCGTCGTGACAGTTCAAGTTTGGAATTTTCTGCTCGCAGTGTCATCAGTGCTTAAAATGCTTTGGGTTTTGGAGAGCGGTCGGCACCAGGTGGTGGGGACGGGACAACTGGCTACTGAGTTGGGCAGGCGCCGGCTGAAAGATGGAGCCCACGAGGAGAACCCACAGTGGGGGCGTCCCGGCACTGTCCACAGGGAGGGTGAGTGTGTAAGGAGACAGCGTCACCAGCTCCTGCCTGGCTCTGTCCCTTCCCAGACTGCTCCAGCCTCTTCAAGTCTGCCCCAAGGACGCTGAGCCGAGACCCAAGAGCCAGGACCTGAGCCCCAAGCTGCCGGAGTGGCTCAGGGCTGCAGCGGGAAGCAGCAGGGCATGAACAGCTCGTGCGCCCAGAGCGCGGGCACTGCGCGGGCCGCGGGAACTCCTGACGGGCAGAGCTGGGGTCTGCGTGCTGCTGGGAAGGTGTCTGGCCTGACTGCAACAGGGCGATGGTCGTAACGGTCACGGGAGAAGGCGCGGTGATGGGAGATAGGAGGTCCGGTTACCGCCGCGAGCACACCTCCGCCGCGCTTGCCTTACCAACTCTCTCCCAA